TCATACTCAATGGACTACAAACTTTCCTTTTAAGATACGAACAAGATGAAGATACCAACTTTCACCACTGCTATTCAACACTATACTGGAAGTTCTGGCCAGAACGATTAGATAAGAAGAAAAAAAATTAAAGCATCGAAACTGGACTGAAAAAGTGAAACTATCTCTAGTCACAGATGACACGATCCTATATGTAGAAAACACCATACCAAAGAATCCACAAAAAAGCTATTAGAGGTAATAAACAAATTGAGCAAAATTGCAGAGTACAAGAGCAATAAACAAAAATTCAGCTGTATTTCTACACCAACAATAAGCAAACCAAAAAGAAAATAGAGAAAATAATTCCATGTACAATAGCATCTAAAAGAATATAAAATACCTAAGAATAAATTTAACCAAGGAAATAAAAGACTTCACTGAAAATTATAAAACATCGCTGAAAGAAATTAAAGAAGACTTAAAAAAAGACCTCTCCCATTCTTCTATAGGAATACTTAATATTTTTAAATTGTTGCTATTTCCCAAAGTGATCTAAAAATTCAATGTATTAGCTATCAAAATTCCAAAGCCTTTTTTGAAAAAATAGAAAAGCGCATCCTCAAATTTATATGGAATTATAAAACAGCCCAAAGAGCCAAAACAAAAACAAAAACAAAAAAAACAAAACTTAAAAATGAGAATAGGGACTCCCAATTCCTGATTTCAAAACTTACTATAAAACTACAGTAATCAGTAGTTTTTTTAATCAGTAAAGAGTATGGTACTACTTTAAGAACAGATATATAGATCAGTGGTGTAAAAGTGATCTTTGACAGGAGTGTCAAACCCATTCAATGGTAAAAGGATAGTCTCTTCAGCAAGTAAAGCTGGCATAACTGGATTTGCACATACAAAAGAATAAAATTGGACCCTTAACCTCACATCACACAAAAAATTAACTCAAAATGGATCAAAGATCTAAGTATAAGAGATAAATTCATAAGGCTCTTAGTAGAAAACAGTGAATTTTCATGACCTTAAATTTGGCAATACATTCTTAGATATCACCAAAAGCACGAGCAATTGAAGAAAAAATAAACTGGAACATCATCAAAATTAAAACTTTTGTGCATCCAAGGTCATTATGAATAAAGTGAATAAACAGCTCACAGAATGGGAGAAGATACTGGCAAATCATATATCTAATGAAGGTTTAATATCCAGAATATATAAAGAACTCCTAAAACTCAACAACAAAAAAGACGAGAGAGAGAGAGGGAGAGAAAGAAAAAGAGTGCAAGAGAGAGGAAAGCGAAAAGAAAAAAGAAAAAAACAAACAAACAAGTATTAGTGAAGATGTGAAGAAACTGTTCATATATTACTGATAGGAATGTAAAATGGTAGAGCTGCTGTGGAAAACAGTCTGGCAGCTCCTAAAAATGCTAAACACAGAATTACCGTATGATCCAACAATTCTACTCCTAGTTATACACACAAAAGAATTGAAAATGAGGAATGAAACAAATATTTGTATGCCAGTGTTCATTGCAGCACTATTCACAAAAGCCAAAATGGTGAAAACAACCCAATTGTCTATGAACAGAAAAGTAGATAAACAAAATGTGATCAATCAATAGATCAATCAATAGATCTATCTATCTATATCTATCTATCTATCTATCTATCTATCTATCTATCTATCTGTCTGTCTGTCTGTCTGTCTGTCTATCTACCTAAAGGAATAGTAGTCAGTCATAAAAAATAATGAATTTTCTGATACACACTAGGACATGGATTATAAGCAAATTCATAGAGACAGAACATAGAAGAGAGGTAACCAGAGGCTGTGGGAGGAAAGAAGGTTACAGAGTTTTTATTCGGAGTGATGAAATGTTTTAAAAATTGATAGTGGTGATAGCTGCACAACTTTGTGAATATAATTAATACCACTGAATTGTATACTAATAGATGGTTAAAAAGGTAAATTTTATGTTATGCATATTTTACCACAAAAAATTAAAATGGAAAACTTTATGTTAATACATTTTACCACAAAAATATTTTTAATTCAGCTCCTAAGTTTCACTAACCACATTTTAAGTGCTTAACAGCCACATGTGGCTGGTGGCTACCAACCACCATATTGTACAGCACAGATATAAAACACTTGGCAACATCACAGAAAGTTCTGTTACGTAGTTCTGTTACCTAGTTCTTATCTGGAAGCTAAAAGCATCCGTTCCAAATGTGAGATTAATAAATGAGGAAAATAGGGAGAAAATTGTGCACTCAAATAAAGAGCATGCTCCAGAGGCTACCTCAACATTCAGTTGTACATAAAAACCATAAGCAGTAGCTGCTTGTCCTTCTGGACAAAGGAAGAAGAGTGTGAGGGGGAAGCACATTCTCCAAAGGTTTTAAGAAGAGGAGTTCTAGAAATTTGGGAAATAGGCAAAAATTGAATATTGGAAAGAAACTGTGACCTGAGTCATATATAATAGGTTTGGATCTATCCTCTCTAGGTCTTGGTTTCCTCATCTGTAAAAACAAGGGGTTCAACTAGATGTTTTCTAATGTCTTTCTATGTCCCTAAGGGAATACTTTCAGATTCTTAAAAACAAGAAAAGACTCCTAACTAAATACTTTTCCAGGATCAGTCTGAAAGGTAAGAATTAAAATTCAACTGGGTTAAACTCTAGTTGTACTAAACACCAGCTGCACACAAAAATTAACTGGAGACTTAAACAGAGCAAAGCCTGTGCTGTGACCCATGCCAACTGAAGATGAGTCTAGGCATCTGGAGTTTTTAAAAGCTCCCCAAAGTATTTGGATATACAGAGTAAAGAACCACTATGCTAGAATATAAGTGATTATACACTTCGGGTTAAAAAAATAATAATAGAAAACACTTCCCTCTCTGTCAGGCAAGCAAAGCTACATCCACAGATGGGGGTTATGGATATTACAAATATCAATCATTTAAATTTGATTTTTATGATCCAGAAGGACATCTGACTGAAAAGAGCCAAGTAGAAAAGAAACACTATTATTAAAATAAGAATTTTGAAATGAATTCTCATCTATTAAAGAAAGAATCCCCCAGTAAAAAGTTTAATGCTAGGTTTTCTATCTAAAGCTCATAGACATAGAAGGAAAAGAAGTATGCATAAAAGGAAAGATTTCTTACAGGTTGCAAGATAGCATTCTAAAAGGCAGCTGTGTCTGAGGTGGGCCCAGAGGGCACGACTGCTTTGAAACCTTTCTACCGGTAGCCTACCGAGCAGACCCGTCTTTTACTAACTGTCACAAAATGTAAATAAAACAGAGTTATCCTTTAATGATTCATAAGTAGATAATAAAGTAGGAAGATGAAGGGAGAAATTGTTTTCCAAAGATCATTAATGAAAATGATGGTAACATTTCCTAGTAGGCTCTGTTCTAAGTATTTTCCAGATTTTATCTCTCTGAATTCTCACAACCACCTCATGAGGTATGTACTATTATCAGCGTTTTATAGTTAAGGAAACCAAAAGACAGAGATTAGAAAACTTGCTCAAAGTCACACAGCTGTGAGTAAAGGAGCTACTAGGCTGATTCCAGAGCATGTGCTCTTAACCAGTATGCTCTATTGTTGACTCTCTCCACCACTTCGTCTATGTAGGTATGAGTGTCTACAACTAACTGAAGGTAGATGGAAATACAGATATAAAGAAGAGAAAGGAACAGAGGACAGCATTAGAGCAGTGTGCTCGGGAGGAGAGACTAAAGGATGAGACTCTGAAGTTTGTACCTGAGGAAAAAGAGAATTACAAATTTTCCCTAATTCACTTAGCTTGAACTGTAATGTATATACCAAATTTCTAAGAATCAGATATAAGGTAAATTAAGCAAAGGAAAAGGAGAAGCATGAGGTATTAATTAAACTAACTTCAAATTAGGAGATGAGGAGGAAGAGAGTGAGCTAAGTATCAAGAGACTGAACTCTATCAATCCAGTAATATTCAGAGGGAAAATATTTTTCAGTTTATTAGCCACATATCCAGAATATGTGAATAGATAACATGAACATCGCAGTCACCACAGAAGCATACCCCAAACTGTAAGCAAGCAAACTGATTTTCTTATTTATAAATGCAATGAATTTGCTCAGGTGAGGGGCTAAAACAGCTTTTAGGTCTCTAAGCATGACAGAATACAGGTAACTACAGCACCTCTAAAAGCCCACCAACCCACTGAAGGCTAGTCAAATGAATTTTACAAAAATCCTCAAACCTAATTCTAGAAATATTATTTCAACATTCTTTCTCACCTAAACATCTTCACCAAGTGGAACTGATGAGACTTTCAACAAACCACAATTTGATATTATTACTAAACTGTGAAATAGGCATGCAGCAGATAGGAAAGGTGCTAAAACAAAGGAGTCATAAGAAACCATAAACTAGACAATAAATCTGGAAGTAAGTTAAGGTTTGGGATAAAAATAAAGTTGTACTGGAAAAAAAAAAAAGGCATACAACGCAGTGACCTTATCATCTCTTGCTTTTACTGTTGTTAAACAAACATAAGAGTCAGCAGGTATATCATTACAGAGACCAAATATAGCCTTTTTAATATGTAAACCAAATATAAAAACAAAAGATACCTCTGATTTATAAATAAGTATCTTGTGCTCATTGTTTATACAAGCAGACTAAACCAGTCATTGAGATCTAGAACGTCTCATGAATACTCTCAGGTCACAGAATATTAATATAAGAAACTTGTGGCAAAAAGATGATATATGAAAGTTTTAAAGGATTTTCCAGCTTATGAGGAATTCTTCCAACTTACAAAAGCAAACCAAAGCCTTTTTCTTGGCAAGGCAAGATACTCAGAAAGAGAGATCTCATTATTCATATCTAGACTATAAAAGCCAGGAACTGAGAATGTTCCCTAGAGACAGGTAAAAGTAGTATATTTCCATGAACACTGGAATACAGTTAAGAAACAAGAATCCAAAACTTTTTAAAGGATACGGTCTGTACCAGGAAACAACGTTCTTCCAGTCAACAGCTCGGCCATTATGCATCCCACTGACCAAATATCAACTGGCAAAATTAAAGAGAAATAAAAGTGCATACAATGTCACTATTATCATAGTTGGCCATGAATGAAACTATAACTAGTGGTGAAATACTCAAATTATTATTTAAGATATCTTAGGTTCAACAATCATACTCATTTGTACAAAAAGAAATAAATAAGTTTATTAAGACTCTCAACCCACTAAAGGGCTTCATATGTGGGATCAGTCAAATCATAATTAAGGCAAGAGAAATAAGATGTTCACAAAGGAGCAAAAGTTTCTTACTGGTAGAAATGGAGGATTCTCCCAAATAATATTGAGAAGTTAAGATTATGAACCCAGTGTCTTCATGTAGAAGTATTCAGAAAATAAGTTGAAACTCTAAATAAATAAAAACCTAAGTGCTAAATCACAAAGTTAAAAAGCTGTGTATTAAACTCTACTTTGTCTATCTAAACAACAGAAATAGTTTCTATTTGTAGACATTAAAAGAATCGCTGAGGGAAGAAAAAATGTTTCCTCCCACTCCCACCACCTTCTTAAAATCTCAAATTCACCCAACGTGGTATTAATAAGGCCCTAAATAACCAATATAAGCATTACCTGTCTGGTTGTAATGCATCCAGTTCAGCATGATCTCAGGAGCCCTGTACCACCTAGTGGCCACATAGCCTGTCATTTCATCATCTGTATGTCGAGCCAGTCCAAAATCCAGGATCTAAGGGAGAGAGATCAGGCACTGAAAGAGTCAAACTCCTAAGACTTGTAAAGCAGGAGAGGAAAAAACTCTAGTGCCTTATAGAAAGGGAGAACAATATAGCACTTTCATAAACATATTCCCTGGTCCACGCTTAGAATGCAGGGTAAACACTGCAAGAACTTTAAAAAAAGAAATTACAAAAAGCAAAACAAGAATGCCATTCCTAGGTATTTACCCAAGAGCAATGAAAATGAATGTCTACACAAAGGCTTACACATGAATATTCAGAGCATAGCCCCAAATGAGAACTAAAGCAAACGTCTATCAATGGATGGATAAACAAATTGTGATATATTCATAAAATGGATACTTCTCAGCAATAAAAATGAACTGCTGATACACACAATACAGATGAATCTCAAAAATACTATACTAAGCAAAAGTCAGACACACACACAAAAATACTGTATGAGTCCATTTGTAGGAAACTCCAAAAAAGATAAATCTACTCTACAGTATCAGAAAGCAGATCAGTGGTTGTCTGTAGCCAGAATTAGGGGTGAAGGGGTGGGGATTGGCTAGGAAAAAGTACAATGGAGCTTTTTGAAGTGATGGAAATGTTCTTTATCAAAACTGTGTTGGTTCTATGGATATATAAATTTGTCTAATGTACACTTAAAATGATGCATTTTAATGTGTGTAAATTGTTTCAAAATCATTGAGTAAAAAAATGAAATAAAACGAACAAACAAAAATTTTCCGGAGCTGTTTGCTCTTAACAGACGATTTATTTATCTTTTATTTGAATTATTTTGAGTGAGTAGGTTGCTGTCATTTTTTTTCTTAGGAACCTATTTAATCTAATAATTATCTCTTCAAGATTGCTTACTTGATATTCAGACTATAATTTTCCTCTATTATAACTAATACATTAAATTTCTAACTTAACTTTTAGAATGGAAACAAGACACTTGATGCACCTTCAATGTCACTTAAAACTAAAGCTTACTAAGTCTATGGTTTAAATTCCAAAGTCTGATATTCCTAAGGACAATATGAATTTTCAGATAAAAAGTCATGGCCTATAAACTATTCCCTATATAAATTTGCCTGGTTAATCAAACATATAATTACAAGGTGAAACAATTACCACCCTCTCTTCATCTTACCTTCAGCTCACAGTCTTCATTCACAGCTAGATTACTAGGTTTTAGGTCCTAGGAAGCAAGTACAGAGAGGACAGGTTCAACTTTATGAAGCATGGTAAATTCTCTCAAAGGTAATGATGAAGATCCAAACATAAAAGTAAGACTTCATCCAGCTATAAACAGACAATCTCCACTCTGTAGTCACTATCTAGCCCTAATTAGCCTTAAATAGGTAAAAACTATACATCTTTCTTTAAGCAGTTTAAACCTAAAACAAAGTTGCAATCAATCAATATTTCAATGGCTAAAGTAAGCTTAGATTAGGATCTCCCCCCATCCCACACACACCCCAGTTCCTGAAAATAGTTTAATAAAAAACACAATACATACCCTGTGAATTATGTCGGCTGAATGTATATACTGTGAAACAGAAAAAAAGTCAGTTAAATGAAAAGTTATCTCCAGCCTCCAACTACCACATCAGAAGACTTATTTGAAGTACATTTTCATGAATCAATAAGAACTGCTATATTAACAATGGGATTAGAAATAAGAACAAGAAGTCTGTACCTTTATCGTAACTATGATTTCCATACCACCAACTCTACTCACAGAGCCGAAGTATGAGTGAAATAGAGCTTTCGATCTATTTTCTAGTTGGTTCTCTGGAGCTCAAAAGTGCTCAAAGCTGCTAAGTATCAAAGGGGGCTTAATTTTAAAATACTGTTTATCTGCCCCTCCCACAAATAAATTAGCCTCTTTGAGGATGTTTCTAAAGTTTCAACATGACACTGACCAGATATTAGATTATATCAAGAAATTACTATTATTGTTTATCTGTAATAATAAAGAGTCCTTAACTCTTGGACATGTATACTGAAGTATCTATGGGTGGGATGATATGATGTCTAGACTTGCCTTAAAATAACCCAGGGCTTGGGGAATACAAAAGAAACAAGATTGGCCATATGTTGGTAACTGTGGTCACTGAGAAAACACAGGGGTTTTATACTATGACTGGATGAGTGATGTTGTGAGCGTTTGAATTTTGCATAAGAAAAGTTTTGTTTTGTTTTTTCTTACGCTCTAAGTAGAAGGGAAAGAATGAGGGAGAGAATTTCATTCTTCAAAATTATTAACTAATACTGTCAGTACCTTGAGACCTCGGAGAATTTGGTAGATAAGGAACTGAACATGGTCATCTGTAAGCTTCTGACATTTCACAATGTTGTTCAGATCTGCCCCCATGAGATGGGTCACTAGATACCTAGAAATTAGCAAAGAGTTACACAATAATCCAGAACCCCTGAGCAAGTTGTTATCTTCATAAGACTTTTAAAAGTTTTTAAGAGAAGGCCACCCAGTAAGTACCACAATGACAACTAAAAGCTTAATAACTACCCATAGGGGGCTCATTTTCAACACTACTGTTCTAATTTTATCACTCATCATCTATTTTTCTAAAAATTTTATACTTGTTCCAACTTGACATATTTTTTCCTACATTCTCTACAGAAAAAGGAAAAAATCAAAAATGGAGATTAGAACTTGTCTTAGTATGTTTTCTTTAAAAATGTTATTGTTGCATGAGAAATATACAGTAAACTAAATGCATGACAATACTACAGTATTTTGAACTTTTAAATCCACCATTACATTTTCATCTCATTATAAACCCTCCAAGTTGTAGATGCTAAAATTGGAGTAGCTTTAAAATTTCACATTATAATTCTCCTTTTTCAGGAATGACTGGTAAAGGATATTGTTCACTGACAACATTCCTGCATTTACTTTAAAGGAAGGAGGAACACATTTTATCCGTAAGCAAGATGAGGCATTCCAGAACTTCTCCTCACAGGTGTGGTGCTGGCAATTAATCTTGTTCTTACATGGTAAGATTAGGGAATGATTACATTCAAGTCCAACAGGTTTACCTCTGATATTCTAGATGCAATGCCTTACCCACTCATTACTGTATTACACAAGTATGAGAACATAAAAACCACATCAGTACTAAAGAGGCTGAATTTTTAAGAACCAGATTAGGTTTTATCTACTGTTTAAGAATCATTACCCATTCCTGAGGCTGAATAATAACATATACCAGTTCAGTTATAAAGAATGTTGATTTTTTAAAAAAATAAATTTGGAGGGAAAGAAACCAGGCCAGTAATTTTAAATTTATTATAATGTATTATACGAATAAATGTGTATGACCTCTCTTTACATACACACACACCCCATTTATTAATTTCTTTCCTCGAAGAGGAATTGTTTTTTTTGTTGTTGTTCCATAATTTCCTTGTTGGGCTGCTATGGTCATTTGGTTCCCAATTTCACTAAGGTCAACAGTAGTTACTACATGTAACCTCAAGGTAAGAGTTTAGCATTTCAAAACTTGCATGTTTATATTGCCTTGAGGAAAGGATGGACTCTAAATGTAATTTGAAGTGTAAATTGGACTTTCTGAAATGTTTTCATAAAGGTAGTTATGATTTAAGAGATGTTCCAAGCTCAATATAACATAACCAAAGACAGTTAGTGTTTATTTCTTGGCCAAGCACTATTTATTATGTCCATGTCTTCTGTACTCTTCCCTGCAACTCTGTGAGGTAAGTCCCATTAGTATTCCCTTTTCACTGATGAGGAAACAAAGATAGAACAAGCAAAATTTGCTCAAGGTTAAAAGAGTGGTAATGTCAGGGGCTGAATCCAAAACTGTGATCTCAGAGATGATAACAGTAATCACAGCACATACTACCTCCAAAATCTTCCAGTTGACACACAATTTAAGTAGAGAGAATAAAAGTTTTATAAATGTCAAAATAACCAGAGTAGCAGTATCTCCAGATAACTTCCTTATCAATTCTCAATATTTACTATCAAAGCTAATCTTTAACTAATGAAGAAGAAAGCTGACAAAACAGAAACACCCCAAATTGACACATAATCTGACAAAAATAAGAAGGTTATGAATAACTAGCTAATATTTTGAAATCAGTACTTCCCCTAGAAAACCTGGGCTAGAGCCCGCCATGTCCATAATAACAATTATGACAAACTGCAAGGCTCAGGTTGAAGAAGAGAGAATCAATTTCTGTCTTATAAGACTGCTTTGCAAATAATTACATTTTATGACATTGATAAGTAAAAGGACTATTCTCCCAATTTTTAAAAATAACTTTAAGGAGAAAAGGTACACAATGGAAATATTATTTTGGATGATTCTACCTAGAATCTATCTTAATTTGTCTTGAAATAAAACCTAAAAACCTTAACTTGCTAATATGTCTGTGCTAATTCACAAAAGTGTTAAGCAGTATTATCGATGCAACCATAGTAATTTCAACTGTAACTACTGTGTTTCAATGGTTACCAGAAAATAGAAATCCTATACATCCAGAAGACCACTGACGGTACAACTTGAGAAAGAATCTGCTTTTAGTTAGAATGTTCCCCCACTGTGTCATTCCCCTCAAATCCCCTCCCCATCAGAGACCACATCCATTTTATCACTAAAATTTCCAGACGGAGGGTGAGACTTTCAAAACATTATGTAAGTATATAAGGTTAATCAGTCTATACAGTAATAACTACCAAGCACTGCTTCTAGGCTATAATTAAATAAATTGAAAAGCATTATTCCTGGCAGAAGTGTGTTGCAGGAACTAACCAAATCACTCTATGTTTTTTCCATGAAGCTCAAAGACCAACCTATGACAACCAATTGTCAAATTCCAACTCATCACATAAAGAAAGGTTTCCAAAATAAATCTTGCAATAGTGGACAAAAGCAAGCACTGTGAAAGTTACCGAATTCTTATGGAAGACCTCAACTTTTAAAAGTAGTGAAAAAGGGAATGAAAAGAAAACATAGATGAGCACATTTTTAAAAAGAGAATTCCAAAAGGAGCATTAATAGCAACATAATTTCTTTAGTATTTGTCTCTGGAAAGCAAATTTGGTCACGTTTTTGTAAAGACATGCCTAATATTGTCAGTGTTTATAACATCTCAAATAAATTAATGAAGATTTGACTTGAGCACAGTTGGAAAGCTCTCTGTATCTAGTTCTCTCGTCTTTAAAAAGGAAATAAGTAGGAGCTTATTATTTAGGCTAAAGGCTGAAAAATGATTTCATGACATGATACAAATCTTTTTTCATTTTTCTTGTGAAGATTGTCTCCTTTAAATTAAATCAGACTATAAAGAGCATATATCACCATTTCTTAAAATGACTCTTACAAGTAAAATGTACTATACCAGTAAAAAAGGCAGAAGTCTACAATAAGTGGTTTTCAGTACTGCAGGTAGCGTCCTATTCTAGAGCTTCATTTATTAAGGACTTCTTGGATAACAGCCAATTGTCAAGACTCCTACTCTGCCACTTTTTTTTTTTTTTTTTAAGCATAATATAGTCAAAAAGAACCTATATCTTCTATATCTACAGACTGGCATCTCTACTATCGTCAGCCCTATTTGATAAAACTATTATCAAAAGGCAAAAAAAATTTCCATATTTAAATAAAGTATTTAAAATAATCACAGGAACTGACAATTTGTAACAACAAGCCTTTGAAATACATGCATTCAATGATCTCTGGGACTTTCTGCAATCTATTCTCAACACAGCGGAAAAGAGCGATTCTTTAGAAATAAAAACCAGACCTTGTCACTCTTCTCTTCAAAAAGAAAAATCCTTTCGATTGTAGATAAAGCCCTACATAATCCAGCACCCTATCCCCAGTTATCTCTTACTTCATCTGCTTCTCTTCTTGCTCTCTCTCAGCTCCACAATGGCCTTAATCCAGCCACACAGGCCCCCTTGCTGCAATTCCAAATCAACATGCAGTCTTCTGCCTCATGACATTTGCACTGGCTGTTCCTTCTGCCTGGAATGCTCTTTCCCCAACCATTCATGAGTCTAATTCTTCTACTACTTCAAATTTCTGCTCAAAATACACCTTCTCAATGAGGCATATCCTTACCACCCCATTTTAAATTGCATCTTTCACCCTGCCCCCACATTCCTAATTTCCCTTCCTTCCTCTACCTTTTCTTTTTGTCCATAGCACTATTGCCTGCTACCAGATTATCTGATTTATTTTTTAAATGTGCATTGTTTACTGCTTTCTATCTGTACAATGTTCAAGGAGGACAGAGTTCTTTTTTGTGTAGTATCTAAAGCACCTAGAACAGTGTCTGGCAGATAGTAGGCACTCAATAACTACTGAATGAAATTGAATGGCCCAGGACAACTCATAGAGCTTTACTATTACATAATACCAGGCAAGACACACCTTAATGAAATACTCATGCCAAAGATCTCATCTGATAAGTAGACCAGATCTTTCTAATGTAAGAGGTAAAAGCACCATTCAGCAGCCAGGTAGGCAGCTTAGCCAGTTTATTTTGCAACAAACTATTCTTGTTTGAAGCAAAGATTACCAAAAGGTGCCCTCTACATTACCTGCATCAACAAACCAGACTCGATATTCTACAATATAGTCTACATTACAGGATAAAAACAAAAAAGCTAGTCAAGAGAATGCACAGGGCATGCTATCAAACAATCAGATCATCAAAAAGTTATAAACAACACAGCACAAGGTTCGTTCATGCTGTCACTCCATTGACAATTATTTATTGTTGAGCACTGAAGGGATGCAACAGTGGAAAAGACAGATATAGAATTTAGATAAGAGGATGGCAAATGTAAATATATAATCATACTAGGGCATGATTAGAGCTACAAAAGGGAACATCAAAATGTTGAAGAACACATGGGAGAGAGCCCCAATCTAGACTTAGGAAGGAGTTAATTAGAAAAAGATTTTTTAAAAAAATGTATATAAAGGATGAATTTTTTTCCAATTGATAAATTAACAAAATGACAATATGTAATTTGGATATTCTACTTAAAAATTAATTTCTAAATCATACATTTGAAAGGAAAATAAAATTTAAAATGCCCCTTCAGAAGACTTTTGTTGAAAATATTATACTGAATTTTAAAACATATACATTTCAATTAAGAAAGTGTCAACTGTTAAAGACTGTATATTTCAGCTTTGTTGTATGGAGAAAACACATTCTCCAACAAGCAAACAGATGCCTTGTTTTCTATGCTGCTATGTAGTTTTCTTCGAGAGGTCTGTTGAGCTTTAGAAATAGAATCGCTATTTACGTAACCCAGCCATTTGTATGCTGTTGTCGCTATCGATTTTTTTTTCCTTTTCAATTTTCAATTACAGTTGACATTCAATAT